CTTCCAGCTACGTTCGGCTAGCGCTGAGAACGCGCCACGTAGCATGCACAAAATCGCGGACCGACCTGGCGAATAGTGGGTATGTCGCACGTGCATTTTTTAAATCCATGACAACACGGTATTGCTAGGTATTGCTCGGTATTGCTAGGTATTTGTCGATTTTGCTCGGCAATAATGAGAAATACCATTATGTGAAGGCAAATACCGAGCAATACCGAGTAATACCGAGCAGTACCCAGTTTTTCTAGAAAAACTCGGTATTACTCGGTATTGCTCGGTATTGGTATTCACAGAGCGGTATTTCTCGTTATTGCCAAGCAATACCTAACAATACTGAGCAAATACCGAGTAATACCTAGCAATACACGAACATAGCATTCCCGGGTTCCGGTCTGGATCAAGTCATCAGGCCGCACGATAAAGAGTAAGGACACGTGGCGCCATCTCAGTGGTAACCGAAAGTAGATGTTCGTCCGGTCATGGGACCTAATAATTGTTCCATCTGAACGCGTAAAGGCATCTTATATAATTTTCAGTAAACGGCCTTTTTGAAATGCCCCTCAAAGTTGTTTCAAATTGCATGGAGGCCACTTCCATTGTATTTACTAGTTACAATCAATGGCGAACCCAATCCATTTATGCCAAAGGCGAAGAGGAGAATCTCTCTGATACCGCTCTCAGATAATGGCGATTCGTTGCTTCACCTTGCCGTTATCTCCTAATGCGGTATGTTTTCTTGCCTTCCCTTCCCCTCGCCCTGCTCTTTCTCAGCAAGATGAGTCCAATCACAGATATATGATTTCTAAACTATCGTCTCTGCTCCACCTTGTTCCTCTTTTCCGCTGCAGACCTACCAGAGGGTTCCTATTTCGAGAAGCAAAGTCTCTTTTCCGACCATCAACCATTGTTGGTTTGCCGGAGAAGGGATGAATCGTAAAGCGCAGTTGCTAAAAAAGGTCAAGGTGTCGGCGGAGCGTGAGCTACTGGTGGGGGAGGCTGATTCTGCTGCCAGCGCTGAGGGTTAGAGTTTTTGTTTTGATTTAAGTACAGCTTTCTATGTCCGCGGCTTACGATTTTATGTTAGAGTTTTGATTTGTTATTTATTTCATGCAAATCGTGAAAAAAAGCTAACTTGGAAATGTTTTGAGACAGAATAAAGAATTAATTTTCTTTATTAGAAATTAAGATTTCATTTGGTTGCTTTGTAAATCGAAAGCATCTTTAGAAAATAGTTATTTAATTTGTCACTCATTTTGAATTTGAAATTGAAAGCATCATATTTTAGGGATCTTTGGAGGTGCTTGTATTCTAGAACATTCATCTTCTTGTAAAGCGTGCTTTCTAACTTTAAGCAACCAAATGGGGAAAGAATGGGTTAATAGTTTTCTCATGATTAACTTGACAAGTTGGAAACTAATCAAATACACCCATAAGAATCGCATAATGAATCAAAGCTTGATGAATAAACCATTCACATTAATGTTAGGAAACAAGAGACCACATTAAATAAACAATCAAGATAGATTTCATATGGAATATGCTAATGAATGTTATGAAATTAGAGGGAACAACCTTATGATATTGATGAGGGAATAATTAGGAAATTTAATGTTTATGCATCCACCTTTGATGGGAGAATAAGTCAAAAAGCTTTTTCTAACTTTGTTTTGGTCATGGACAATTTCTTTGATTGACAAATAATATTTGGTGAGCATTAAGTAAGGTTTTGAAAACTAATAATTACTATGTAAGTAAAAATTTATTGGATAGGTTTTGGGAGATAGGGAAATATCAGTGTTAGAACTAATAACCACATGGGTTGAAATCAAACTACTAGTAAAAGAAAATTACTCACCGTAATCCTATCTTAATTGATTGCTTGATGTGTTTAACTCTCTAAAGCAAGGAACAAAATTGTAATTGATTACATGAATAAGTTTGAAAAATTGTTGCGGTATTCTAAAATTTGGGTGGATCCAAAAATGTTGCTTTTTAGGTTTAAGATTGACTTAAGACTTAAACTTAAAAAGAAATAACACCACATAATGTTAATTCGCTTAAGAATACTTTTCAGTTGGCTTTAGATTTCGCCCCACCACAAAATTTCCCTTACATAAAGAATTTCTTCATATGCTAGGAATTCCTCTTTCCTCCAAAGTAATCAAATTCCAACAACTTTGTTAAGTTTGTAATGTTACTTTCTACAATGAGGAAAAAAAAGGAAAACTAATAGCTATTTCATTAGTCTCCAAAATTTCTACCAAGCTTTGTTTTAGATGTCACCAAATAGGTCACTATGCGAGTGGCTGGCTAATTAGAAACTTCCACATTATAACAAGGTTGATTAACGGGAAAATGTAAATGAATTTGTCAAGGAAATAAGTGATCATGATGATGGTTTAGATGATAACTCTTTGAATGTCCTGTGATGCATTATTGCCACATTAAAGTCGAATGTGATAGGAAAAGAGCTTTGCTTTTCATACACACTTTAAAACATGATGAAGAATTCTGTAAATGCATCATCAGCAGTGGTAGCTGCATAAATGATGTTATGACCGTAGGCTTTGAGTGCATGATGTAAAAGTTGAACCATACTTGCACCTTTATAAAGTAGCTTTGGTATATAAAGTTGCTATTTTTTTAGCCTAAGGATGTTTGTTCCCCATTTAGCTTGTCACTTATGTAGATAATAATTAGCACGATGTCATACCTGTGGATGTTGCACATGTCATTCTAAGATGACATTGGTTATACAATTTATATGTGACTAATTTTAGGAAATTCATTACTTGTGCCTTTAAGGTCAATGCAAGAAGATCCCTTTGGAATGCACCAAGCCTAAAAGTCATTTCACATCAAAAGAATTTAGTGCACCTAATGAACTAAAGAATCCTTGAGCCAAAAAAGTTGAAAAGGAGACTAGACTGGAGTAAACTATTTGCTGGTAACTTATCAAATTGAATCTAGATGTGATTGAGAGCATATCAGCCTATGAATGATACAATTGGACCAGTCCAGCCAGCCCAACCTATGGGCCGGCTCCCTTAGGGGTGAGGTCCACCATCTAAAGTTATTTGCTTGAGGTTTGTTTAGTCCTGTGAGGTTAATTTTGTATTTTCTTTACGTAGAAGTTGTATTAGGGTTAGGTCATCTTTTTTGTGGCTAATTTTCTGAGTGCTCTTTGGTGTCTTGGGCTCTAGCTGCGTCTAGAGAGTTTTGGAGAGATTGATCATCCTCTCGAATAGAGGATCGTTCGTATCTCGATATTTCTTTTCATTTCCTTGCAATCTAGAATGTTTATCTTGTGTTTTTATTCATAAAAACTTAAAAATTTGCCTGGTTAATCCGCTGAAATTCTATTTTCAACGATTATTTAATGTTTCTCCTATTGTTTCCTATCAGAATATTTGTGAATTACTATTTGAAATTTAAGAACTACATCTTGAAGAACTTCCTCCTCACCACTAAGTATCTTTAATACGCTATTTGGTCCTTAGATCATTGTTTCCTAATGTATCTCGTTATATAATGAATTATACTAAATAGGTTGAACTAGAAAGAGAGGTAGATGAATTACTCATGAAATGATGAGTCCTTGTACAATGTTTTCTTTACTCCGATCTAACAAGGTCAATAATTGAAGAATATGTTGATAGACGAGCACTTAGTAAAAATAATATTAAGTTATAAGCTTTTCATCCAAGATTATATAATATGCTAAATATGGTTGGGGTTGTGATTTTCTCAATGATTGATCTAAGGAGTGATTATCGGTACTTTAAAAAAAAAAATGGTTTGCAGAGTAACTAATTGATGTAGGACTAAGATGCTTTAAAGGGATGTACTAATAATTTGCATGATTCCTTTAATAAAATAATTATGATTAAAGCTATTAGCAATCCAGAACGATAAAATAAAACAAGAAAGGGGTGCCTACGTTTAGGCTAAGCCATTTGCCAAATGCTTGATTTATCAAAATAACATAGAATATCAATAACATGCAAATCAAGTAGTGTTCAAACAAAAATCCCTACGCTAACAATGAGATTAGGAGCATAGAGACCAAACTCAAGTCCTACGAATACTAGGCGGCATAAATAGATAAACAAGATCTTCATGAATCAATCAAACCACAAGAGCAAGTTAGGCAATGGAAATACGAGAGAAGGTGGATTGGTAAATCTTTATCTCAGTTGGCTTACGATCCTCCACTGAACGGTGCCGAGTTGTTCTTTCGCGGCCTCGACGAGGGTATCCAGAATGCTCTCCATCTACATCGCAATGGTGTGGTCGATATTAGGTTTTACGTCGAAGGTGGAGTGCAGGATGTTAACAAATCCTTGCTCGTCGTAGGCGATGCCGAAATTAAGATCCGGATCAACCATTTATTGGCTTTAGAAGATTGAGATGTTGAAGACGGTCGTTGTTGCGGATCTATGGTTTATGATTTTGATGATAGCAAACATTCTTATTTCTCTACGATTGCCTTTTGTACTGACATTTCAGGTCCACACGATCAGACTGCAATTTGGAACCAGCTCAAGATTGGGTAGACTAGGTCTAAGTCAGGGGAAGGTGGAAGTGATTTTGTAAGGGCTTCTCCACCTAGCTGTGGGGGCTAAAGGATAGACACTTATTTTAGTGCAATACTTGGAGGGTGCCTCCAAGGAGTGGACGTAGGTCAAAGTTTGACCGAACCACTATAAATCCGGTGTATTCTTTCTTTATTACTTCCGCATTTAATTTCCGCACTTTGGTTTTCATTATGGTGATATTGGTTTGAGTTTTGTGTTTTGATTGAAAGATATTTTTTACCAATTCACCTCTCTTAATTAGCCTTGGGCCAGTTCATAGGGCCTAACATCCCTAACGAACTTTCAAGTGGTATCAGAGCGGGATTCATAAAATAAGTTTTTAAAAGCTTTTGAATTTCAATCTATGGCTAATTTTTCAAATCATAATATTGCGGAAGGATATTCAATCACCAGACCACCTTTGAAATTTGAAATTAAATTTTCCCAAATTAAGAATAATTATTCAAGGAAAGGATTTAAGGGGTGTTTTGAATTTTGGAGAGAGGAGGATCGGGCCGGCGGTTTGAAGGGCTTGAGGAGAAATTTCGGTGGGGGTGATGTTGGGGTTGAGGTTGGCCGGTGGCTTGGGTAGTGGAAGGGATTTATGTGGTAGTGGTGGTGGGGAGTTGAGTGGCCGGCGGCTTAGAATGAGGAAACACCTTGGCCGATGGCTAAGAGTTGGAAGAAGGAGGCGAATGAAAGGAAGATAAAGAACCACAAACCTGGCCGTCTCCAATGTTGGTGGGTGATCTGATTTCCCTCTCCTAGGGATTGCTCTCTCCAACACCCATACGATCTCACAAAGAAATCAAAGAGGAAGAAATATCATCATTCATTCATTAACATAAAAAGAGAACAATAAGGCTATATATAGCCTCGTACAAAGACTCAAGAAAATAAAAAGACGACAACGCCCACTGGGCTTACATACGACCTTCCTTAAGTAAGGGGTAAAATGGAAACACTAATAAAGCAAATACAACATGACATAATAATAAAGAAAATATAATAATACAACTCAGAAATACATCAAATCAATCATGGCCGTAGATCGACGGCCACGTCTCTGATAGACTAACCACGATCTGATGTCCCCATCACTAATATTTCAAGTTCTTTTATTCGAATCATGAATCATATTTTATGACTTTAAAATTTTTTTTCGTTATTGTATACTATAGGGGTGTAAACGAGTCGAGTTGAGCTCGAGTCAGGAGGTGTTCGAGCTCGACTCTCAACTCAGAAGCCCAGTTTGAACTAGAGCTCGAGCTCGACTCGCGACACTATATCGAGTTTATTAAGCCGCTCGCGAGCCACTCATTTTCGTTCGTCCCGCCTGCTTTTGATTTCACTGCTCGTTTTTCTTTTTTTTTTTTGAAAATCCACCCGTTTCAGAGGTGGAGCAGTGGAGAGCGGACACAAAAATCGAGCAAAGTATTGTCGGCGTGAGCTGAAATGCCTTCATCATTTATTAGAACAGGAAAAAGCTGTTTTTGTTGACAGCTTTTAGATTATTTATATATTTTTTGAAAAACAATTTATTATTTTATAACTCTAAAAAATGCTTGGCATTTATTGATATTGATATTTTAAAATATTTTTATTAAGCTGTTGGCATTTATTGATATTAATGATTAAAAAAAAATAAACAGTAGTTCGAACCGGCTCGCGAGCTCACGAGCCGAGCTTCATCAAGCTCGAACTCGAGTTCGTTTACTAAACGAGCTCGAACTCGAGCTCGAGCTCGACTCTTGAGCTCGAGAAGCTCGGCTCGCGAGCCCTTAAACGAGTCGAGCTCGAGCCGGCTCGGCTCACTTACACCCCTAGTATACTATGAAAACATTTTGATTTAAAACAAATTTAGAGTGTCATTTAGTATGTCCTAGGAAAGTCTTTAAAAAAGTGCAATATGAAAAACTGGATCCTAATTTAAAAATGTGTTGTTTTTATCCCAATCTATTATATTGTTGGAATTTATAGTATTTATTGAGATATTTTGATTTTTTATGTGATTTATTTATGTATCTCATCCTATGTTGCATTAGGAACCCCAATTAACTATCCTACGTCAACCATTGATGATGAAAATTGGACAATCTATCTTGTTCTACCTATAATTTTTTGAAGTACAATTTTAGATTTATTTTTTAGATAATGTTAAGCTTGAATGCAGAACCGAGAAGTATGAAAACTGAGAAGGGGTGATATAGGGAATGATAGAGGGGGAGGCCGGTTTGTTGAGCATTCCAGAGTTATGGGAGGATTTCATTGTCTAGTCAGTTAAACCAGACCTTGTTTTTGTGGTTGAAGCATAATGTGCATTTTCTTTGTCCATATTAAAGAGGTATTGAAGAAAGACAACACTAAGGGGTTGCATTTAAAATTTCAAAGTTCTATTCTCAATTTTGGGAATTCTTTTTATTTATTTATTTATTATTTTTTTTTAATTTCAAAGTTCTATTCTCAATTCTGGGAATTCTTTTATTAGAACAGAGATGCTAAGTTAACTGTAAGCATAACTTGTCACCCAGAACCTTGGTTTATATGCAAATTGTTGTTCATTGCCGTAAACTCTTTTTAACTTAACATTTATTCTAGCCAGCTTCCGACGGTGTATATACCATGCATTGCATTGAATAAAAGTGAAAATTCAAGAAATTGTATTATTAGATCTTGAGAGCTGTTTTTTCTTATGACTTGTGCAACTGTGCTGCAAATTAATTTATAATTTCTGTAAATCATGTAGTTGTATTTTGAATCTGATATCCTTTTTGAGGGATGAGCTTTTTTATATTTGATGCAGATGTCGGAATTATTAGCATTCATCATGTTGGGATTCTATGCGAGAACCTTGAAAAATCTCTTGATTTTTATCAAAGTCTTCTTGGTATGCACATATTTCTTATATAACAAATCATATGAGCTCATTCTTTTTCAGACAAATTAATTATAAGATTTTCTTTGTGACAGGACTTAAAATTAATGAAGCAAGGCCACATGATAAGCTTCCATATAGAGGAGCTTGGTTGTGGGTGGGTGATGAAATGATTCATTTGATGGAGCTTCCAAATCCTGATCCTTTGACAGGGCGCCCTGAACATGGTGGCCGGGATCGTCATTCATGTATTGCAATTAGAAATGTTTCCAAGCTCAAAGAAAGATTTGATAAAGCAGGTAGGTGTAAAAAATTTCTGTTGCAAAGTCACATTTATCACCTTAGCATTTTAGTTTATGATTCCTTAGATAAAAAGAACCTACTAGTTTTTTCTGTTTAGTGGTAAGACCGATTCACTACAATAACTAGCAGTGCTCAAAATGGTCTACTGACTGCAGAAAAAGACGTCATTCTGATGATACAATCAATGAAGTTAGGGCCTACGCTCTATAACTAGTCATCTTGATGGTTGGTAGAGGGTTTAAGTGAGTCAAGTTGGCTCGTGAGCTGGCTTGAGCTCGACTTGATAATGAGCTCGCAAGTTGAGCTTATCGAGCCACGAGTTTGAGCTTAAACCCGAGATCGTCTATGAAATGAGCTCGAGTTTTATCTTGATGAGATTCAGCTCGTGAGCTCATGAAATACCGCCATTTCAAATGCTGGCTCGCTAGCTCGCTTTCATTGCAATGAGTTTAGCAGGAGATTTGGCTGACGAGCTGAGCTCGAGTTGTTTACACCCCTAACAGGTGGTGTTAATTAGCTCAAAATGAAAGAAGTCCACAAATTATGAACTCCGTTATCTTCCTTGTTCCAAGGTAGATGCATTCGAGGATATTGCCTGCTAGCAAAATTTCTCCAATTACTCCATATTTTGTTGATTAGGGTATGTAAGTGAATGCCATAATTTATGGGTTTAAATATTTCTAAATAGTAGTCATGATTTAGAGATCAATCACGAAAATTTTGGACCATGGGATTGGTCATGTTGAACCAGACCAAACTTAGTCGGCCTTTCAGGAGGGGCTTCCAATCTCTCTCTCTCTCTCTCTCTCTCTCTCATCCTTGATTTGTGTCAGAGTTAATTTGTCTTGAACCTTGCTTAGCCATTGTAGAAGTCCACCAAGACCACGGGAGCTACAAATTGAATAAACCATCGGGTACTAATGGAATTATCAAGTCTCATTGTATTTCTTAGAGAAGGATTGAAGGGAAACTGATAATAGGCAGCACTAATTATGAAGACATGTCAACTTCACTATGCTCTCCTTCTCCTCTGCATCCTGACAAGCAGCGACTACAGCAGACCTCTCCACCATCAGATGATAACAAACTGATTCCTTATTAAAGGCTGGATATTCTTCCTGTTGCTTTACTAAACTTATACAAATATAAACATATGAGGTAGAATGGTAAGCTTCTACAGTAAGTTTTAAGCTCTCATTCGTATTTCTACGGCTAGCGTTTTGGGTATGTGTTAGAGCTGATGTACTTCAGCTTGTATATGGCTTTTATCAGAAAACAATACTGGACAATTTTTCTTTATTTTTCCTTCTATAATGGAACATGTTGCAGAGATGAGGATGCTTAGGTGGATGAGTGGCTTTACCCTTAGGGCTTAGGGATAGGATATGAAATGAACTTATAGATGAAAAGATTGGAGTAAAGATTGGAGTAGCTCCAGTGGAAGATAAGATTAGAGAGAGTCGTCTTAGATGGTTTGGTCACAGTAAACGGAGGCCTTCTGATGACCCGGTTAGAAAAGTTGAAGTTTTAGATTTGACTTATGTTAAAAAAGGGAGAGGTAGACATAAAAAGTATTGGTTAGAAAATATTAGAAATGATCTTTCTTTATTAAATTTAAATGAGTATTTCACTTTTAACAGAACACAATGGAGAAAAAGGATTCATGTAGCAACCCCACATAGTGGGACTAAGGCTTGATGTTGTTGTTGTTGTAATGGAACTTGTAAATCAAGATTTTTTTTCAGTTTCAGTTCTCAATTATTAACAATTCGGATTACTGATGGAGTTTATCTTTTGTTATATAGGAATCAAATACACTCTTAGTAGGTCCGGAAGGCCCGCTATTTTTACTCGTGATCCTGATGGAAATGCTTTGGAATTCACTCAAATAGACTGAGAAAAACACACTCATTGTTATTATAGAAACTTACAAGATGAAGGAACCAGCCAACAAGCCATGTAAGGTAAGGTACTCTTATAAAACTAGCAGTTGATATTTGTATAGTTTATTATAGAATCACCAAAACTTATATTTCTAAGTCTCTGCTGTAGTAATCTATTGCCACTGTGCAATGTGAGTTCTTAAAAATGGTGTTGATAATATGTATGAGAGTGATATAATATTCATAGCAAACATTCTACTATGTATAATTGTGATATAATAAAATTTTGATTTTCATAGAAAATTAAATAGTAACAAATTTACTCTTTTCTAATTTGCATACTAAAAGTAATTTGTTTGATAATGAACAATTCTTCTTTTACAAATCATCAGATTCTTATTACAAATAATTACATATTTAGATTCTTGTGTTTGTTTTCTAAAGCATTATATTTTCTTCTTAATTTTTATTTTCTTTCTTTTTTGGTTCATTAATAAGTTAAGGACAAGCACATTTTAACATGCATTGGCTTCTTGCAATGTTAGCATATGTTTCCTTCATCTACATTATTAATCTTAGCATGGAATTTATAATCTCTATATTTGCCTATATTTGTTGTTTCTTCCTAAGTTTCCAAGCATTCTTAAAAACATGACCACATTATCATTAAGACTTCATTTGGGATGACTTTCTTACTACTTTTTCGTATAAAATTTTTTATTTTTTAAGTAGAAAATTGCTTTAAGAAGCACTAAGAAAGCTGTGCCAAATGAAGCCTGAAGCGCTAAACTCCATAGAATCATCGACCTATAGAGCAAGTCTTTCTTTTTCTTTTTTCCCCTCTTTTTTGTGCTATAATTTATGCTTTAACGAAAGACATGTTCCATGTGCTATCTATGATACTAAAAGGTAACTAAGTAGGTAAATTGATAAATCTTTAACCTCACTGATAACAATTACATGAGCATCACTTTAGGATCTTACAAACCAATTTTTTATTTTGGTTCTTCTAAAAGAACGCGATCTATAGGTGATCTTCGTATATCGATATCAAAAACATATTTAGGTTTCGTTTGTAATAGCTTTCTTATTGCTTTCTAAAGCAGTTTTCTAATATTTTTCTAGTTCAAAACATTTTTTGTTAAAAAAAATTACTTTAGAAAGTAATAAGAGAGATGTCCCAAATAAAATCTTATTATGCAACATATGAAATATATCATGCTCATGAATCGCATGTTTATGTGAACATACTTCACCTCACTAGTACAATTATAAGCAATGATATGAGTATTCCAAATTTTTATTAGTGTTAAGCATTGAAATTATCATATAATCATCATAAAATTAAGCATAGTATTAAATATTACAAGCTATTGCTTGTGGGTGAATCCTAAAACTTCTTCACATTTAAAGCATAGCTCTTGTAAATCCAAAAACTTCTTCACATTGCTTGTGGGTGAAGAAATTCTCACAACATAAGCACATGTTTGAAGAAATGAAAAACTTGGGTTACAAAAATTTAAGCTAACTCACAAAGATTTTATTTGGATAGCTTTTTACTGTTTTATGAAGTAATTTTTTAGTATAGAAGTTTTTTGAATTAAAATTTTTTGTACTCAAAGCTACTTCATGTAGACATCCTCTTGGAGTTCTCCATGTAGGAAGACATTTGAGATGTCAAATTGTAGAACATGCCAATGTCTTGGTAAGGCTATGGTATGTAGGATCCGAATTATGGGATCTTGGCCACAGGATTAAAATTTTCCTTGTAATTGATGTTATACTCATAGGTGAATCCTTTAGAAATTAAGCGTGCTTTGTATTGGTCAATCTGTCCATTAGGATTGAGCTTTGTTGTGTAAGTCAAGGTGAGCAAAGAGGTGGGGGATTGTGAGGATTTTGTTGGTTGGAAGATGAGATTGGTGGTTGTAGAGTATGAGAGAGGTATGGAAAGGTCTGTTTGTGAAACAATATATATATATATTGAGTTTGTTGGTTGCAGCAATGATTGCCTTTGTGGGAGATGGAGTAGCCTAGGAAGATACATTCTTGAGAGCGTGGGTTGAGTTTGTTGGAAGTTAAAGGCTTGAGCCATGGGAAACATAAGCAACCGAATGTTTTGAGGTGAGTATATGTAGGGGGATGACCATGTAGGAGTTGAAAGGGAATTTAAAGGTTAGATGCTTTGGTAGGTAGGCAGTTTATGAGGTAGTTTAAGGTCAGAAGAGCCTCATCCCGTTAAGTGCATAGGGAGATTTATAGCATGTTGTAGTGTGCGGGTAGTGTCTAGTAAATGACGATGCTTTCGTTCGGCCACTCCATTTTGTTCATGAGTATAAGGATAGCTGAATTGGTTGGTTATGCCTTGAGTGAAAAAGAATTACCTGAAGTGATGACTGGTAAATTCACTCTCTCTATCCGAGCGGAAAGTTTTAATTTGTGTGTTGAACTGATGTTTAACAATGGTAGTGAATTCTTTTAATTTGGAAGGTTTTAATAATTTATTTATTTATACACAATAAAAATAATTTTATATATTTATTAATGATAAATATAATAATTTTATATATTTATTAATGATAATTTAATCTCATATATTCATTAAAATAATTTTATATAACTTATAATTGGAGAATTATTCTCTAAAATTCATTTCAAATAAAAATTCTTTTAAAGAGAAATGACCTCTTATATTTGCTGTTATTCAATGGACTCTTAAGTTATGCAAAATTATTTTAAAAAAAAAAAAAATTGAATTTGAACCTAGTTTTAACTATGTTAAAACTGCCCTTTCTCCTTACATGATTGGAGAGCGATGGCATTTTAATAACGAGAGCTCATCGGGAGTAAGAATTGAAAGAACCAGCAACATGTAATGAGAAGAAGAGTATGTGTTATAATCTGAGAGTTCGGCATCGTGCTTTGATGATTACAAATATTATTGGATGATTATTTAGTTTTTTATGTTTTATATATATTATATATTTTTCTGTGTGCATCACTAACATTTTATGTTTAACATACACAAAGCATAGTTAGAGAATCAGAGTTCAAGAAAGAGATGTATATATGTTAGACTTATTTGAAAGATTATGTAATTTTATTTTTCTTGAGTCAATGTATGTAAAAAGGCATATGTTAGTTTAGCAACAATGCACATACATAATGAGGAATGAAAAATTAATTTTTTTAATTTTTTTGTTAATCGTATTGTATGATCAGTTTAAACATAAATTAATTAAAATGTTTAATTTGAACATGAAAAATAAAATTGAATTATAATTAATCGTAATGTACGAACAAGCATCATATAGGACAATCAACTATTATCAGAAACTCCACCTGTCAAATCCAACTTACTTAAAATAGATAAATTTGAAATTTGAAAGTTGAATTGTTTGTAATGTTTAAACCTATTCGTATTGAATGATCTTTAATGATATTACCTAATTTAAGTCTAGGAACTAAGGAATTAAATCAAATGTGCAATGATGGCAGATCGTACCAGACGATCATGTATCGTATTGTATAAATCACCTGACGACTCATTGGATGAACTGTGGTTTGTCCTGTATGATCCAATATTTGATTTGTACAATCATATTATACGATTTATAATCATACAGGACGATCTATGATGGTGCTGAACTAATAGTATTGTACGATTATAAAATCTTATTGTACGAATATAGTAAGTAGAATTTAAAATTTAGGGTTTTAGAAGCTCACTATTTAAACTCTTTTTAATTCTTTTTGAAGAGTGGCAGCCTTGGGTCTTCTGTTGGTGGTTTTTAAAAGTTTGTTTCTTCTTGAGAGAGCTTGAACAAAGGGCTTTGAGCAAAGAAGAGACAGGGTGAGCTTGTGAGAGAGGAAGAAGAGTCTTGAGGATTTTAAGAGAGTGTGAGAGGAGTTTTTCACATGGTTGCTTCAACCAATATGCACCAGAAGTCTTCTTATTGTGTCATTGTTTGTCTTGAGGAAAGCTTTTGGAAGTAAGACTCAGTGGACAAAGACCATTGGCTACTTTGTCGCATCGAAGAGGTGAAATGATTTCGGCTCTCCACCGCACCAAGGAGGTGAAAAAGATGTCCTCTCCACCACATCGAGGAAGTGAAAAGTATTTCGGCTCTCCACCGCACTGAGGAGTTGAAAGGAATTTCAACTACTCCATCACATCGAGAAGGTGAAAGGGATTTTGGCTACTATGCCACATCAGGTTGTTGAAAGTGATTTTGTAAGGGTTTCTCTACCTAGTCGAGGGGGTTGAAGGTGAGTCACTATTATTTAGTGCAATACCCGAAGAGAGAGATTTCAGGGAGTGGATGTAGATCAAGTTGATCAAACCCCTATAAAATCCTATTTGCATTCTTTTATTTTCTGCTTACTTTCTGCAATTTTTACTTTCCTACATCTCTTATTTTCTACAATCTAGTTTGTGTTTGACTATCATTGTGATATAAAGATAATTGTGATTGATTGAAGCTAATTTTTTTTCAAAAAAGATTAAAAAATCAGAAAAAAATAAAACGGGCAAACATTTTATTATTTGTCTTTTCTATATGACTAAGGCATCGTTGGACCCATACGTGTGAAAAGAAGTTCAAACAATGGTTTGAAACATATTTATATTTCTTTTGGTACAACTTTCTTGTGAACAAAAAAAAATTTTGTATTAAAAAAATTACTTTATAAAATAATAAAAAAGCTATCATAAACACCTTCTTAATCAAACCAATTTCATTCTTGATGTACTTCAATAAGCAACATGAATATAAGAGAAGGTAGATATTTTATTTTAATTAAATGTACTAAGAAAATTTTTTATTTTTCTTAATCATCAAGATTATGATTATTTTAATAATATTCAAATTAGTTATTTTTGATTATTTCAATTTTAATTATTAGTTCTAATTAAATTACTCAATTTGAAAGATAATTTTAAATTAAATATCTCTTATCTTAGGTAGTTTAATATTGAACAAAAAATAATCAGAAAGAATCAAAACATCTCTAGCAGTTTATTTGTAGAAGATGATAGGAATTGCAGGTTTCTACCTTTCATTAAAATGCACGCTTCATGTTCCTCGCTTCCTCCTCTTTGGACCTCCTCCTCCATCGATGCGCCACCCCTCGCCAAGCTCAGCAAATCCATGCCCTTATCCTCCTCACCGGCCATCACAACCACTCTCCCTTCCTCTCCGCCCGCCTCATCTCCCTCTACTCGCACCTCAACCTCCTCCCGGCCGCCATCTCCCTCTTCCTCTCCGCCCCCTCCCCCTCTTCCTCTATCTTGTGCAACTCCATCCTCCGTTCCCTTCTCTGCCATTCACAACCTTTCCAAGCCATTTGCCTCTACCGCCGCGCTCGCTCTCTCAACGCCATTCCCGATGGCTTCACCTTCCCCCTCGCTATCCGTGCCTGCACTTCTCTTACCGATTCTTCCCTCTGCGTCGCCGTCCACGCCCAGGCCGTCACCATGGGCTTCGGTAACCACCTACATGTTGCCAACGAGCTGGTCTTGTTGTACGGTCATCGGGGGCAAATGGACCTTGCACGCAAGGTGTTTGATGGAATGCGTGTGAGAACAGTGGTCACTTGGAACATTCTTGTTTCGGGATACTCACAAAACCGCGAGTGGGATAATGCGCGCAAGGTGTTCGACGTTATGCGAAGATCAGGACCGACGCCCAATTCGGTTACTTGGACGTCTCTGTTATCGGCCTATGCCCAGTGCCAATGCTATAATGAGGTGGCTGATGTTTTTGATGAGATGAGGGAGTGTGGTTGTGAGGCTACTGCTGAGGCGGTGGCTGTGGCTTTATCTGTTTGTCCTTATGTAGGTAGCAATGGTGGCCGTGATGGGTTGGAGAAAGGGAAGGAGATTCATGGCTTTGTTGAAAGGAGCGGCTTTGAAGGGTTTTCTTTTGTGAGGAACTCACTTGTATGCATGTATGGGAAGCTTGGGAACAGTGGTGACGCAGAGAAATTGTTCTCTGAGATGGAAATGAGGGATTTGGTGAGTTGGAATGCGCTGATCTCAAGCTATGCTGCTTCTGGTTGCTGTGACGAAGCATATGAGGTGTTTTGCAGGCTGCAGGAAGCTGGAGAGCCTAAACCAAGTGTAGTGAGCTGGAGTGCGGTGATAGGAGGTTTTGCATCCTGTGGAGCGGTGGAGAAATCTGTGGAACTTTTCCGGCTTATGCAGAGAGCTGGTGTTAAGTATAATGCAGTAACTCTGGCCACTGTTTTATCTGCATGTGCTGAGCTATCGTCATTTGGCTCAGGTAGAGAGATACATGCTCACACCATACGAAATTTGATGGATGGTAACATATTGATACAGAACGGGCTGCTCAACTTGTACACAAAGAGTGGTGGTCTCAACTATGGATGTTTGGTTTTTGACAGAATAAAAGGTAAAGATTTGATCACTTGGAACTCCATGATCAATGGCCATGGGTTGCATGGATCATGCGACAAAGCTCTCAGCACATTCAGAAGCATGGTTGCATGTGGGTTGGAGCCTGATGGGATCACATTTGTTGCAGTTCTCTCAGCTTGTAGCCATGCAGGGCGAGTCACTGAGGGGCGAAAAGTGTTTGATTTAATGGTTCATCAGCATGGAATTTCACCTGGTTTGGAGCATTATTCATGCATGGTGGACCTTCTTGGGCGAGCTGGGCTGATAAGAGAAGCGAGTGAGCTTGTAGAGAATATGCCTATGAGACCCAATGCTTGTGTTTGGGGAGCTCTGTTGAGCTCCTGCAGGATACATGGGAATGCAGCCATGGCGGAGGATACAGCTTCAAGGATTTTGGGGCTTGAGGAGGAGACTTCGGGGATCCGCATGTTGATCTCTAATATATATGCTGCAACTGGGAGATGGGAGGACTCAGCGAGGGTGAGGGTGATGACAAGGGAGAAAGGGATCAGGAAGAACCCTGGCCAGAGTTGGATTGAGGTGAATAAGACTGTTCTTGTGTTTTCAGCTGGTGGTTCATTGCCTCCTGGTGCAGAGGGAGCTTATGATGTATTGGAAGATTTAAATATGCAGATGGAGACTGAGAACCAAGTGGCAAGTGACTGGTTTTTGTTGGATTGGGCAGATGAAGAAGCATAATGGTATGAAGATTTTGTATTCTTTTAAATCTACAGAGATAAGATTGCCGTTTGAAGAGAATTTTAGAAGTATCTCAAGACTTCATCTCTTTCATAGGAAGCAATTTCTAAGCTTGAGGGAGATGATAGTTTATTGAGGTCAGAGGGAGATTTTATGAGCATAATTCCCTTTTAATCCTGACAACAGCTTATCTTATAAGAAGTTAAGGGTATCGTTAACGAAGACGCCGGAGGGTAGCACCGGAAGAACAAAAAACTCAATGGAACAGTAGAAAACTGTAGAAAGTTTTAATGATCTTCTATCTCTCTTCTCTTCAACTACAGCTATATGCTCTTAGCAGCTTAAGATTACTAAATAAAGTTAAACAGGGAATTAAGATAAGCTAATTATAAAATAACTGGTATTGCTAAAATTAACAAAAAGCTGGGAATCAGAATTCCGTTAGCAGCAGGCATAGTGGAGCAATCGTCCGCCGTGGAGGAGGGTACAGGGATGGCCACATCAGTTCTCCCCCGACTCCGAGAAGCTCGACTCCGACGAGACTTCAGAAATGTGCAAGTTGTCCGGTGGATGGTAAGTGTAGATATCCGCTACGTTGAAGGTGGAGGCTGTGTGAATGTCGGGAGGAAGATCAATGATGTAGGCATTATCATTGACTTTGTGTAAGATCGGGAAAGGTCCGATCTTTCTTGGGCTGAGTTTTGAATACGTCCCCTGCGGAAATCTTTCTCGGCGCATTCGCAACATCACAAGCTCACCTTTACTAAACACTTTATGGCGTCTGTGTTTGTCGGCATCCTCTTTATATCTCTCGGATGAGTGTTGCAGGTTGTCTTTCACCTTCTGCAACGTTTCCATAGCTTCAATAGCAGTTTTTCCGGCTGCGGATGGTAGGTCTTTGGGTAGTATGTCCATGTCGACCAATTGGTTTGGCGATTTAGTGTACACCACGTCAAATGGGCTATATCCTGTAGACCTGTTAAGCATTGCATTATAGGCAAATTCGGCTTGGCTCAGCATCTCCTCCCACCTTTTCAGATTGTCCTTGACAAGGCATCGAAGCATATTACCTAATGTTCGATTGACCACTTCCATTTGGCCGTCAGTTTGCGGGTGGTAGGCTGAACTAAGTTTCAATTCTGTATTGAGCCTCTTCCATAATTCTCGCCAAAAGTGGCTGACGAACTTGACATCACGGTCTGAAGTGATGCTACGAGGCAGTCTGTGCAGTCTTACAATCTCCCTGAAGAAGAGGTTGGCAATGCGGACGGCATCAAACGTCTTCTTACAGGATATGAAATGGGCCATTTTGGAGAAGCGGTCGACGACGACTATGATTGAATCCGACCCCCGTTTCGTCCGAGGCAAACCCAAGACGAAGTCAATTGTGATGTCTTCCCAAATCGAATCCGGTATGGGCAAGGGCATGTATAGCCCTGTGTTTTGAGCCGTTCCCTTGTACACTTGGCAGGTATAACATTTTTCAATAAACCTGGTGACGTACCTCTGGAGGTGCGGCCAATAGAACCTCACCTGAATTAATTCCAGTGTTTTATCCCGCCTCAAATGAGCAGCTAAGCAGCCACCATGGAGCTCCTGAATGATCTGTGGACGCCACGAAGAATCGAGAATGCAGAGGGCGTTCCCCTTGAACAAGAAGCCCTGATGCACAGAGTAGTCCTGCTGGGGAAGACCAGCTACACATGCTTCCCATATTCGGGAGAAGTCTTTGTCGCCCGCATACAGTTCACTCAATTGTTGCAGTCCTTTTAATTCAGTTTGGAGGTGTGTCAATAGTGCCGAACGACGACTCAACGCGTCAGCCACCCTGTTGACCTTGCCGGCCTTGTGCTTGATAACGAAACTAAATCGCTGGAAGAACAAGATCCTCCTCGCGTGCATTCTACTGATATTCTTCTGGCTATTGATGAATTGTAATGCTTGATTATTGCTGCAAAGAACGAAATCCTTGTGTAAGAGGTAGTGCTCTCATTGCTTGAGTGCTCTGACGACAGCATAGAGTTCTTGCTCATATGCGGACCACCGTTGCCGGGCGGCACTCAATTTCTCGCTGAAGTACTCCACATGTTTTCCTTCTTGCGAGAGTACAGCTCCGATGCCTATAGCAGACGCATCAGTGTCAACTTGAAAGGCTTTTTCAAAGTCCGGGAAGGCCAGGACTGGAGCGGAGCTGAGCGCGATCTTGATCCGTTCAAAACTTCTCTGTTGTGCGGCGGTCCAATTGAAGGAGGTGGATTTCATGCAGTTGGTGTTCAGAGACATAATATTGCTGAATCCCCTAATAAATCGGCGGTAATACTTTGCCAGGCCGTGGAAGCTTCGCACTTCAGCTAGTGACTTAGGAATTGGCCACTCCATGATTGCGGCGATCTTCTGCGGAGCCGTTTGAATGCCAGTCGGGGTCAGGACAAACCCCAGGAAATGCACTTGCTTCATGGCGAATTGGCATTTAGCCAGATTGAGAAAAAGCTGATTGTCCCGCAGAGTCTCCAGTATCAGCTTTAAATGTGCTAGATGATCTGAAAGGGAAGCGCTAAACACCAATATGTCATCAAAATAGACAATACAAAATTTGTCTAAATAAGGCTTAAGGACTTCATGCATTAATCTCATGAAGGTTGAGGGCGCGTTACACAGCCCAAAGGGCATGACCTTCCATTCGAACAGCCCTTCAATGGTTTTGAATGCCGTCTTCCATTCGTCGCCTGGACGAATGCGTATCTGGTGGTAGCCACTCCTCAAATCCAGCTTGGAAAACAACTCGAACCCGTGCAACCTGTCAAGGAGATCATTGATCCTTGGAATGGGGAATCGGTACTTCACGGTGATGCGGTTGATGGCGCTACTGTCGATACACATCCGCCATTGTCCGTCCTTCTTCGGCACAATCAGGGCAGGAACAGCACATGGACTCAGGCTCAGTTGGATGAATTGTTTCTGCAAAAGATCTTGCACTATCTCCTGCAAAATGGAATGCTCACGTGGGCTCATATGGTAGTGAGGTAAGTTAGGAAGGGTGGCACCTGGAATGAATTCGATTTGATGCTGAAGGTTGCGTATGGGTGGTAGTGACGAAGGTAAGTCCGCGGCCATGATATCAGCAAACATGTCAATGAGTTTGCAAACTTCAAGTTGGATTGGCTGCGGGTTATGCGTCACCGAGTCTACCGCCATAAGTGCGAGTGCTGGATAGTCCTCGTCCTTCATCTGTAAGAGAGCATGCCCCGAAACTAGCTGAACGGTAGTCAGGTTGTTGGACTTAGGCTTCTGAGAATTCTGCGTTGCCGGAGTCAGTTTGAGCTTCTTCCCTTTCCAGTCTATAGTATACGTGTTAGCCCGGTCGTCATGAACGTCCCCATTGTCGAATTGCCACAGCCTCCCCAAGATGAGATGGCAAAGATCCATGTCAAGGACATCGCAATTCACTTGACAAATGTACCTGTTGCCAATGCTAAATGTAATCTTGCAACACTCGGAGACAAGGAATTCCACTCCCTTTTTAAGCCATCCGATCTTATACGGGTTACTGCTCTTCACCGTCTTCAGCTGTAGAGCTTGGATGGCGGCACGGGAGATGATATTCTCAGTACAACCGCTATTGATAACCAGGTCGCAAACCTTTCCATTAATTGTACATTTAGTGCGAAACAGACTATGTCGCTGAGTCTCGACAGGTTGGATAGGGGCTAGTAGTACCTTCTCCATAACACAAAGGATTGGGTTCCCCTCATCAGCCAGCAATTCCTCCGCTTGTTCTTCAACTTCTTCCAACGGAGTGGACGGGTCCCAATCCTCGCAGCTTCCAACATTTGAACTTGATGGCGCAATGGGCACTCGTTGGACTTGCGACCAGTTTGTAGACACCTGAAACATTTGATTGTAGACGGCTTGGCATATGGGTTTTCACCCCTGGGAGGTGGTTTGGCCTTAACAGGTCATTTACCTTCATTCGGCTGTGTGCTGGCCGTTGCCACCGCTACAGGTGAATTTTTAAAATTTGAGGCATTGCCCTTCCAGGTCCCGTAACTACCTTCTTGAGCTGCACGTTTTGGAACATACGATCTGTTCGTCCTCTGCGCTTGCGCTTCTACCTTCAAGGCAAAGTTGACCGCCTGAGAAACCGACCAGACCGAATTTAGCTCCAATTTGTCCTGGAGCGAATCCTTCAATCCCCCGATGTAGCGCGACACCAACTGATTATCGGATTCGGACAGGTTATTTCGAGCACACAACCTGTAAAATTCCTCTGTATATTCGCTAACAGTGCGATGCCCCTGCTTGCAGTTCTGGTATTGAAGATAAAGCACATGTTCGAAGTCGGTAGGGAGAAAATGTCGTCGCATTAGCTGCTTCATGCGTGCCCAACTGCGTATTGTGCCCTTACCTTCTCGCTGTCTACTTTGAAGCAACTGCATCCACCACGCATTCGCACCGCCCTTCAGACGACATGCTACGTATTTGACTTGCTTACCGGGCTGATCTCCATGTACCCAAAAAAGTTCTCCACAGATCCTTCCCACTCTAGGTAGTCTTCAATGTGAAGTCTGCCATCAAAGAAGGGAATGTCGATTTTATGGCGAGGGAGCTCACCTTCCTGTTTGGGTGGTCTATGTCTTCTACGATAGTCGGGCGGATGTGTCCTAATCTCCTCGTCAGTTTCGAAGAGCTCCATAACGGGAGACTCACTTCCTTCCGATTCAGCACTGTCATTAGTTCCGACCAGGGTCTTCTCTCGGTGCATATTCGTCTTGCTTGCACGGGCGGATCCGGTATGGTTGCCGGAGCTCCTGGGCGAATATTTGGACGAGCCACCGTCCTGATCTGCCTCATTTCTTCCCTCATCTCATCGGCGAATCTCGCAAAGGCATTGACCAATTCATCCAATTGCTAACTTTTATTTTATCCAGTGAACGTACGCTCCTCTATGTTCAGTTTAGGAAGTACCTTGAAAAAGTCAGGTCATAATAGAACTTTTATTTTATCCAGTGAACGTACGCTCCTCTACGTTCGGTTTAGTCAAAAAAGCGCCTGTACGTACAACTCGGTACTCGGTACTCGGTACTCGGTACAGGCGCTTTTTTTGCCTAAACCGAACGTAGAGGAGCGTACGTTCACTGGATAAAATAAAAGTTCGTCTTGTTGAAGCCATAAGTGTTCTCATTTGAAGATATTTTCATGCAGTATCCAAATCTGGTAGTTCTATTTATATAGAAAGCAAAGTTATGTGCATGATTGAAAGTTCTGATATCTATAAAATTAAGAGCATATGATAGTATGATAGTTTGGTTGGGTGGAGTCAATTATGTACCAAATTTAAGAAGGAATCTAGTATCCTTAAGTGCTCTTAATAGTACATTATATAAGCTTTTTTGGTTATCTTAATATGCTTATTGTTTGTAATGATGGTTTGGTTGTTGTGAAGATAAATAGCGTTGGTATATGTATTTTAGGGTGCAACATCAATTGGTGATGTATTACATTCAACAATTTGATGAAGCATCATGATTTGGAGAAGCAAATTAGAGTTAGCTTTTATGATGCTAGAAAGATTCTAGAAGCAAAGAGGCACAAGTTGAAGGGGGACCTTCTATTGATGATTAGAAGAATCAGGTTTCGTTTGGGACGGCTTTCTTTCTGCTTCTTAAAGCAGCTTCTTAGTACAAAAATTTTAATTTTTTTACTAGGAAGATGCTTTAAGAAGCAATAAGAAAGCCGCCCCAAACAAGGCTTTGTTTGGGATGAATTTCTTACTGCTTCATAAAACAGCTTTTGCGTACAAAAATTAAAAAAATTATATTAAAAAGTTGTTTTAAGAAGCAGAAAGAAAGCCGTCCCAAACGAAGCCTTAGTCTTACGTTCCACTTTTTGTCCTAGTATCATGTCATGCCATGATGGTTGTTTAATGGAAAAATTCAATCCTTAACCTAATTGTCTCAATCACAATATACAAAATAGCAACGCTGACTAAAAAATCTAAAATAATTTAAATAAGATAAAAGATAATCCAAATTTTATTTCTAAAAGAATCATATACAAATAATACAGTCCGAATTCATTTTATATTTCAAAATATAATAATTGGATTACGAAATATCTTAATACAAAGCTTTTAACGGTCATGCCCTTATTAAGCTTTACTTCGTTGAACCCTTTTCCTTTCCTAAAATTTCATATATAATAGAGTGAGCTTCTTTTCCCAATTCCTATTGTAGATGTTAATACCTATATTTTCAATGCATAAATAAAAATTTAAACTTTCGTTACAAATTAATAGAAAATAAATTTACTTGTAGAAAACATAAACAAAAAGATTATTTATGCCAAAATTATTAGAAGGGTAATATAAAATGTTTTAAACTTGATATTTATGCTTGTACATTATAAATATTATAAATAGTGATATGTAGTACTTTCACTAACACTTTCACGAGAAATTATTGTGTGCGCAATCCGAACGCAGAGTAGTAAAGTTCGGATGCTGCGTATTTACTGCTTATTTTACTGCATATTTTTTTATACATAATTTTTTCTACATATTTTTTGCGTATTTATTTGTATTTAGTAAGCATTATTTATTTGCTGCTTATTTGCCACGAAAAAATTATGTATAAAAAAATACGCAGTATAATAAGCAGTAAATACGCAACATCGGAACCTTACTCTGCGTTCGGATTGCTTACACAATAATTTCTTCACTTTCACAGGGATATTTGAGTAGACTGGATAACAGAACATATATTTTCATTTATACTTCTACAATTTTATGGTATTGAACATGAACATGAATACATATGTACAATACTTCATAAGATGATGCATGTATAATTTGCCTACAAATTAAATATTCGCCATTTGAGAAGTCATCTATAAGGAATCTTTAAAATATCATTTTAGGACTTTTAAAAATATAAAATATTTAAAAATTTGTATAGATAAAAACTAATTGGTGAAATATTGATTTTTATATTTAAAATGAACAGAATAAAACATTTTACAGAATACCAAAAAATACAAGTTGAATTAAAGATTTGTAATTCTCATTTAAAATACATTTTAACTAATAACTTCTAGTAAAAATAATGATTTGAAATTAGAAATAATGAATTGTTAGCTAACATCGATCAAAAGAAATCTCCTAACTAGCTTAAATAAAGAATTTCTAAATTACCTCATTTTTTAATAAATAAATAAATAAATTATCATATTAAATATGTAAATAAACAAATTAATTTATATTTTAAATATTTAAATTAAAATTAGCATAAAATTTATTTTATATTTTTTTGCCCCAAACCATTTATATTAAATATGAAATATAAATTAGTCATAATTTATATTAAATATATGATTATATGTAAATTAAATTTAGATTTAAATCAAAGTAAAAAAAATTAAAAAATATTTAAATTTAAATTTATCATATTATTATGAGTGTAAATTGATATAATTATGAGATTTGGGTTTTTTTGCTCTTATGTGAGATTTAATTTTTTTTAATTAATTTTGTAAGTTTTATGGTCATAGTTTTTTCTTTTATTTAATTTTTTGTCTCATATTTGGAATGATAACATCATTATTATATTAATTTCATTAAATATTAATAATATTATTATTTTTTACGTCATCCGGTTCGACCCTAGTTTGACTGGTCAAACTTGCTGAACCATGAACTTTTCCTTCTTCTGCTTCAATATCTGGTCCAATTTTCACAACATTGCAGAATAGTATACGAAACAATTGTCCCATCTCTGCCTTCTTCTCTACCAAGTGGCTTCTCGTTAAGACTTGTTCTTTTATTGAATATTAACTATAGAGATATGTTTGCTTCTCAATTGCTTCTTCATATTATAAGCAAGAATAAGATCAAGTTACCCTTATAGGTAAGGTTAGGAAAGTTATTTAAGATCATCTACAATTCCAAACGAAGCCTTAGTTCAATGGTGGTGAACCATTTTACCACAAATTATAATCCTAAGTAAAAGTTTAGTTTAGATAAATATGATAGATCACAAGTGACCTGAAAATATGTTTAACAAGACTTGAAAAGAATATGAATAAGATCTCTTTAGAACTCAATAGAAATTAATGAAAAATTTGGATTTCGTAAAGCTAGTTCTAAATAGTAGAGATTAAGCTAATGATGATGATTATGATGATGGAAAAGATTGCTTTTGCTTCAGAAGGATATGGAGGGCATGCATTATGATATTCTTTAAAATGCACAATTGTCGTGTTTTTTCTACTACCATTATCACACTTCCTTCTCTTCACTTATGTAGTTTAATTTTTGCCCTAAGAAGAAAATATATATTGTAGGCTTAGTTGCGGATATTATTTTTGCTGCTGTTTTATTAACAATATTTTGAAATTTTAATTATATTTTCAGCTGTCCTAAGTTTTTCTTTTCTTATAAAGAGGGGGATTCTCCATCATTCATAATTATTTTTTCTTCGCAATCAAATCAAAATGAAATATGTAGCACTAACAACATGATGTAGCTATCAATTGGGTGTTTCTTTATAAAATCGTTTTTTTTTTATCTTTTAATTTCACATTTTTCCTAACACCTCTAACCTCAAAATCAAAGGGGAAAAAAAAAAGAGAAAAACTCACTTAACCATGTTCAAAGAGTGGTTTCCATAATCCTTTCCTTTGTCATCTAATAAAGAGTTAAAATGATTCAAATTCTTTCAAAAAGTAAAACAAAAAGGCTAAGTCATCATACCGCTCTACAAATATCTCCTATACAGTACCTTAAATTAAAGTTCTTTGGGTGGGTTGGTGGGCTTCTCATCCATTGAACTGTTGTTATTGAATTGTGAGCAGCACTTCTTAATCAAAATTATGCAGACACTTTGCTCCAGCAGAGAAATTATTCTATGCAGATGTCGGATGCAGTTCTACGTCCGGATGCTGCGGTACCGAGTTGTACTGAGCCGTGGTACCGAACGGTATCGAACCGCGGTAGTGAGCAATATCGAGCCATGATACAGTAAAAGGGTGACGTGACACATTCTGATTAGTCTCTAGATGACGTTCGACGTCCGCACAGAATAATTTTCCATCTCATCTGAAGAGCCTTTGTACCTGTTTGATTTATCCATTTCATCACCCTTTTGGACCACACCTAATAGCTTGGCCAAGATTTCCTATGAACAGCTTATACTGTGGCAGCTTAATGGAAAGCAGTTCATCTCTTCAGCTTGTAGCACTTGTTTGGCAGCATGTGTTGTGACTTTTTGCCTGAAATTTAATGATTGATATCAGTGCCATTTGTTCATCTGTAGTAATAGCATTACAGAGATTTGATAACTTTGAATTACAAAACTCGTAATTTCTGCATTCTCTTAATTTTTTTTTTTTGCTTCCTGTAATTGATTTGTGGAGCTTTCTCTATTCAATGACTGATGCTCAAAGGAATAAACACCTTTATAACTTGTCTCCAAAGCTTTACAGTGTAGATCACTGGATTCTCTTCCACATGTTAATATTTTCTTGGAGAAATTTAAGAGCCACAGATACAAGCGAACAATGATGAAAGAAGTGACAGTTTATAAGTAACTGTTGGTGTTGCCTCAAATTTGACTCAATTATTCCCTACAAGAAAATGGGTCAATAGTGACCCCTATTTGCTCATATCCTTGATCGTCATATGCTTCGCAGATATATCGGGGCTCCAAGGGGTCAATGCCCCATGGCGGGGTTCGACCTGATAGGGGTAGTAGTTGCTGGGGTCAATTGATTAAAGATCATAGTATTTTAAAACTTTTGGTGTAGGTCAATTTCCTAAAAATATTGTAGTAAAGACAAAAAAATAGATGGATGGGATCAAATTACCAAAAGAATCATATAATAAATTTTTTTTTTTGAGGGGTGGCAATTGCCCACTGACCTAAAGGGGGTTCCGCCCCTGATAGGAACAAAAGGTTTATCAAAACTAACTAAACTAGAAAAAAGATCTATAATAAAATGGGGCTCAGGAGATGATCAGTTGATATGGTAAGAACTCAACAGTGGTACGTACCATCCCAATAGAGATTAGATCTGTAAATAGACTAATGCATCAAGACGATGAAAAGTTATTACGTGCAGAGTCTAGATGCCATCCATATTCCAATCAAATGAAGACACGAGGAAATCTTTTCTCTTGTACACAATTTATGAACAAAAGATCAAAATACATATGGCTCCGCACATAATAATCTCTCCTCTTCAACATGCTTTGCAAGAAGAAATCTTATTGCCATTCCTTGACAGATATCTGATATTAAAAGAAAGAAGCTTTTCAAGTCACGGATTGGCAAAGCCAGGTTGGTTTCAAGTTTTCAGTGTAAAAGGAGTGGTTGCTATGGAGCAATCAGTATCACATCAATGGGGAACTTTTGTCATTATTGTTGTTTGGTTGAACTTATTAGCAAAGGTGTGTTTGTCTTAATCTGGTATTATTTTCTAATAATAAAGATGTTATCTTTAACACTCATATATTATATACAACTCTCTAAAGAAAATTTTATCCAAATATGTGTGAAATGATGTTTTTTATTTATGTAAGTTAATGTTAGTAATATATTTTTTATGTAATTTAGATATTTGAGTGTTATGTAAATAACATTAAAATTTAGGTGTTATCTATATAATTATATAAGAACTATGTGATATGAATGTAAATACTATTTGTTTATATTTCATGCTTTGATTTAGCATGAAGGTTGAAGAAACTCAACAAATAGAAAGCAGAGGTGAAAGAGCTAAGGGAAGAAGACGATGAACAGTAACTCATGATTTTTCATGTATGCACTGAAGCGTATTACACGGTGTTATATAGAAAGGAGATAGATGAGTGAATTACAATAGTAACCCGGTTCGTTACTTACAGGTACCTGACTTGGCAGAAGATCATGGAAACAACTTCTGAAAATGCAGGTGAAGTGGGCGCAGAAGCAGGGCGGCGACATAGTGGGCTAGGCCTACTTATCACCATCCCTCAAACTGATGGGAGGAACGACCAGAAGCTTGTTCCGGAGCTCGAGAAGATGAGAGGAGGGGAGGCACTTGGTGAAGATATCAGCTACTTGGTCCAATGTGGAAATGTGATGGATTGCAATGTAGTTAGCCTGAATGCATTCCCGGATGAAGTGGTGATCTATCTCAATATGCTTTGTGCGAGCATGGAAGATTGGATTGAAGGCAATTGACATTGCGAAAATGTTGTCGCAGAACAGCTTTGTGGTTGGTTGAGGGAGAAGAAAATCTTCACAAAGGCGTCGAGTCCAGATTATATCAGTAGTGGTGGCTGCCATTGAACGGTATTCGGCTTCTGTTGAAGAGCGAGCTACCGTTGTTTGCTTTTTAACTGACCATGTAAGCAGTGCATCGCCGAGATAGAGGCAGTAACCTTTTGTTGACTTACGATCAAGCTGATCGCCAGCCCAGGCAGAGTCCGAATAAGCAAAGAGAATTAACTCAGTTTTTGGAAGGAACAGAGTATGGGTAATGGTGCCTTTGAGATACCGCAACACACGTTTAAGTAACTGAAAATGAAGTAGTTGAGGATTGTGCATATGCTGACAGAGTTTATTTATAGCAAAAGCTATATCTGGACGGGTGGAGGTGATGAACTGTAGGGAGCCAACCAATTTACGAAAAAATTCTGGTTGAGGGAACGGCAGTGTAAGATTGGCGTGTGTGGGAAACTTGGACGGTAATGGCGTGAGGAGTGGTTTGCAGTTTGACATGGAGGCGGTATGCAGCAGATCTGTTATGTAAGACTGCTATGAGAAATGATATCCATCCACAGTGCATATGAACTCTGTGCCAAGAAATTTAGACAGTGGACCCAGATTTCTTGTAAGAAAGCGCTCAGCTAGTTTGACTATCAAGGATGAGATATATTGCTGATCACTGCTAGTGATCAAAATGTCATAAACATATACCAATATGTAAATGTGTAGATGATCCTTATCCAGATGAAAGAACGAAGGATCGACTGCACTGACTGTGAAATTTTAAGTTTTTAGATAATCCGTGAAAGTGACAAACCAAAGGCGTGGTGCCTGTTTTAAGCCATAGATGGCTTTGTGCAACAAGCACACGTGGTCCAGAAAATGTGGATCTTCAAATCCTTGAGGCTGATCCATATAAATGGTCTCGGTTAAAGCTCCATGTAGAAAAGCATTCATAACATCAAGTTGATGTATTTCCCAGCCATGATAAAGAGCAACCAGCAGCAGCAAACGGATTGTAGTATGCTTGACTACTAGACTGAAGGTTTCAAAGTAATCAATACCATAGGATTGTTTGAAACCTTGTGCAACCAGACGGGCTTTGTAGCGGCAATGTTTCCATTGGAGAGATGCTTAATTTTGTAGATCCATTTGCACCCAATTATGGGTTGATGAGCTGGACGCGGCACAAGAGACCAAGGCCTTGAGCTTGAAGAGCTCTAAATTCAACTGACATGGCTTGCCGCCAATTCGAGTCTTTATTTGCAATAGAGAAACAGGTAGGCGTAGGATGGATGACATGAGCCAGATCTAGGAGAACTCTGGGTTTAAGAGTTCCAGTTTGAGATCGGGTGATCATGGGGTGGTTGGTTTTGGGCATTGGAGGTACAGGGGAGGGAGATGTGCTAGAAGTTGCAGTAGCAGAATGGAAAGGAGAAGGATGAGTGGGAGAAGTAGAAGGAGATGGAGCAGGAGTTATAGGATTGAGTGTAGGTTCGGAGGAGAGATGGACTGTGGTTGGTGGAGAAGGAGGAAGATAGAGAGTTGGAGTGGAGGAGTTTGATTGTTGGGGGGTAGTAGAGGTAGAAAGAATGGATGTAAAGAGGGATTTGTCAAACCGAACATGTTGAGAAATGATGGTTTTGTTGGTTAAAGGGTTATAACATCTATAGCCTTTGTAGTTTGTGGTATAGCCAAGAAAGATACAGGCGATAGAACGAGGAGCAAGTGTATGCGGAGCTGAGAACCGTGTCCAGGTATAACAACGACAGCCAAATGGACGAAGTATAGTGTAATCAGGAGGCACATTATAAATTAAATGATAAGGAGATTTGAATGTAGTATTATTGGAGGGAAGATAGTTTATTAGAAATACTGTAGTTAGAACAGCAGCAGACCAGAGATAGGATGGAAGATTAGAGTCGAGCAGAAGAGTTCTGGCAGTTTCTGAAATATGACGAATTTTTCGTTCAGAGACGCCATTCTGTTGGGGCGTGTAGGGGCAAGAGAACTGAAGAGTTATGCTGCGAGATAGAGTGAAGGCTTTGAGTTAAGATTTAGTGAATTCAGTTCCTCCGTCACTTCTGATAGTTCGAACATAAGTATTAAAATGTTTTTCAATTTGTTTGATGAAATTAACCAGAGAATAAGGTACTTCATGTTTTTGTTTTAACAGATGAACCCAAGTGTATTTGGTATAATCATCTATAAGAACCAGAAGATAATGAAAACCATCATTTGAAACCATAGGGGATGGACCCCAAACATCCATATGGAGTAATTCTAACGGAAATGAAGATACATGTTCGGAAGAGGAAAAAGGTAGCCAATGACTCTTAGATAGAGCACAGGCATTACATAGCGAATCTAAAGAAGAAATACATAGTGAAGGAAACGATTTAGAAATAGCAGCCATGTTCTTTTGATTAGGATGACCCAACTGACAGTGCCAGGATAAAGCAGAACGAGGTGATGCTGATGGAGCAACAATTGTGGATGCCGCAACGATAGATGGCTTGAATGGAATGGGATAGAGCCCATTACGACATTGTTCGAGAAGAAGCGGTTGTTTGGTCATCAAATCCTTGAAACAAAAACAAGATTTATCAAACTTAATGGAACAATTGTTATCGTTAGTTAGTTTGGATATTGAGATAAGTCTGTGAGTAAGTTTGGGAACATGGAAGAGTTGTTTGAGAAAGAGCTTACGAGTAGGTGTCAGTAGCAGACCGTTACCTACATTTTGAATTGGAAGTGAGTGTCCATTGCCCACGAATACCTGATCTCTACCCAAATAAGTCTGTGGTTGCTGAATAGGAAGAGCGTCTGGTGTTAGATGAGCTGAAGCTCCACTGTCCAAATACCAGGGAGATGGTTCAGGATCTGTTATTAATGCAACAGAAGAGGCAGAGGTCGGAGTAGTGTAATTGAAGTTTCCTCTGTGCCAACAATTCATGGCAGAATGATCGCGCTTCCCACAGATTTGGCATTCTCCCTCAAATCTAGGTGTTCAAGGAGCAGCTCTGTTGGTATTGTTGGAATAGGATCTGCCGCGTCCACGGTTGGAGGAGTATCGACCACGGGTAGAAAACAGAGCAGTTTGTCCATCAGGTAGCTGAGAAGTATTGGAGAATGATAGTTCACGAGCTGCATCTGTAGTTTGATGAACTTCCTCACTCCGAAGAAGTGAGTACAGATCGTCCAGGTGTATGGGTTGAAGGCAGCTCCGAATTGTCATTTTGAAGGATTGGTATGAAGGGGGCAATTCATTTAGGATGTAATGCAGGACATCTTCATTGTCAACAGTGCCTCCAGCAGCTCGAATGTTGTCCACTATGCTTTTAATGAAAGCTAAATAGTCAGTCATGGATTTGTTTTGCATAGACAGCGAATGCAGCTCATTTTTGAGTTGGATAACTCTAGATTGGTTAGTAGAGAAGAAGCGATTATCTAAAAATTTCCAGATCGAGGAAGAAGTTTCCAAAGTCAGGATATAAGGGAGAATGGACGTCGAGATCGTAGAGAACAATGCGAAAGACAAGTTTTGATCAATCAAGGACCAATAAGAAAACTGAGGATTCAGCGTTAACTGCCCATTTTGGCACTTGGCAGTTAAGAGATGTTTAGGAGGACAAAGGATGTTTCCGTCCAAGTACCCAGAGAAGTGGTTTGCCGCAAACAGTTTGTAAATGGCAGAACGCCATGTAGAGTAATTATCAGGTAGCAATTGAACGTTAATCACGTTCTTGATGTTAGCAAGAAGAAACTTGAGAGTAGCAGGAATAACTACATCAATGGAAGTAGCGGTAGCATCGGATGTCACGACAGTCGGTGGTGGAATGTTTGGAGCTGAGGCTGACGAATATCCCATCTTCGTCAGTAGCCAGAAACAAAGCCGTTAGGCATCGGGCTCTGATACCATGAAGAAACTCAACAAACAGAAAGCAGAGGTCAAAGAGCTAAGGGAAGAAGACGATGAACAGTAACTCATGATTTTTCATGTATGCACTGAAGTGTATTACACGGTGTTATATAGAAAGGAGATAGATGAGTGAATTACAATAGTAACCCGGTTCGTTATTTACAGGTACTTGACTTGGCAGAAGATCATGGAAACAGCTTTTGAAAATCCAGGTGAAGTGGGTGTAGAAGCAGGGCGGCGGCGTAGTGGACTAGGCCTATACACTACAGGAAAACTGTCCATTACCGACGGAATTTTCCGGCGGTCTTTCCGGCGCATTTCTGACGGAATAAAGGTCAAATTTTCCCGACTATTTTTTTCGACAAAATTTCCGACGGCAAAGATTTGGTAATTTTGTCGGAAATATCTTTTACAAATTGGTAATTTTGTCATCTTGTAAAAGCACTATTCTTTATTATTATATATATATATATATATATAATGCATTTTTGTAGATGCAGTTAAAATGTTATTGAAAAGGAAAGAAGAAATCAGCCGCAGTTTACATAGTAAGATAAATTAAAGCCAATCAGTTATACAGGTCGAAGCCATCCAGAATGATCAAAGTCCTACACTTGTATAAGATCGCAACCATCTAGATCGCAGCCGGACTGATCATAGAGGTCCACGTGTACACATCGACAGCCAAGTATTTACAACTATCAAGATTAATGTCAGCCACATGATTAATATAGGAAAAGTATAAATACATATATATATACGTCAATGAGAAATCAAGAAATAGTTTTACTCTCCATTTATCTTTTTCAGTCATTTATCCTTTTCTTTGTGGTATCAGAGCCGTAGCTAAGGAAAGACTGAGGCGATTCAAAGAAAGGTAAGAAGATCTCTATCTTCAATGGCTCAATCAAAATCATCCCAAGTAGTAGATCCATCACTAGATTTCTCAACAAGTACATGCATGATACCTGCATCCTTAAAATTTGTCATAGCAAATATCAAAACTGTTGTACCTACACATTTGTCCAATGAAAACTACTCCATATGGAGATCCCAAGTTTTTAAACTCCTCTGAGCAAATGGGTTTGCAAATTTTATAGACCCAAGTGTATCCCCACCCTCCCATCTTCAACAAACCTCTGATGGTCAAACAACTACTAATCCTAAATACACCGAATGGATTCTGATTGATCAGAATCTTGCCGCAGCTCTCTGTTCCACCATCACTCCAGCCATTCTATCATACGTACTACATTTAGACTCATCTGCTGCCATTTGGAGCACAGTTGAAAGAAGATTACAGTCCTCCAATAGAACACGTGTGATTCAACTCAAAAATAAGTTGCATAACATTTCAATGAAGCAACATACAATGTTAGAATATCTAAATGAAGATATCATTCTTTATACACTCAATGGTCTACCACATGCATATCAATCTTTTAAAAGCACAATACGAACCATGGTCCAACCAATAAGCCTAGATGATCTATATGCTTTTTTGATCGTGAACAAATAAATCTCAATGCAGAAGCAGCCATACAACACAACTTACCAGACCATAACACAACTTTATACTCTACAAGAGTTA